GAGATTTGATATTATATCGAAATGGTAACGTTTCCGAGAATTTATCTTAGAATTGGGCTTCGTTCAAATTTGTCTGAATAAATATTTATATAAGATACCGAATAAAATGAAAATTAGAGCTAGTGAAATTCATCAATTGGACAATTCTCTATTTACTTTTTACTTAATTTTCTGTTTATTTATTCGAATAATAATACTATAACTAATATACTGTTATAATACAATACACTCTTACCGTTTTTTCTACCTACAGGAAATTTAATTTCGTATTAGTTATTAATTTGTGTGCTGAGAGAAATCAATGTTGTAAATAAAAAATTGTCCGAAATAAGATGACGATTTTTTTCTCTCTAAAGTTGATGATGTTTGTTGTCTTTAAATTCAATTTCATTCAGTGATTGAATTAAACTGTAAATATCATATGTTTAGCAAAGAGAACACTTTATGTTTTTTCAATAATTAAGAGAAAATTGAATTTTTTGAGATATATGCGTCACGTAACTTACACCATTATGATTCTCAGCACTCCAATTTACTCAAGGATAATAAACTTTCAGGCACAATATTTGAAAAATGACATAATGCCAATTTATTAAAGAATTGCGTAATAATCCATAAGAAAATAATAATATTGACGCAACGTTCATTTGCAATATCGACGAAACATACACCTAACAGTTAATGCAAATACTTTGAGCAACGATTAACTCCCCGCTCTATTTCCAACTCAATTCGACAAACACCGCTGTCATTTACTGCAGACGAATTAAAACGAAAAGCCACTTTGTCATTATCAATATTCAAGCCTTCGACGTAGTGCAATCTTCGAATGAACACAAATTTCCTAAACCTTTTCGCAGTTAATGAAAAATGATGTAATTACATTACGTTGTCATTGTTGGAATAAATTTTCATTCATTCAACTGCGATTTATGAATTCGTTAGGGCTGAATACAATTTTCTTCGTCGTTCTTATCTTTTATCTGTTATCCGAATAAAATTTTCCCCGGTACTGATTTATCTCGAGCACCGTGACACGCTTGTCAATACAGTGGAAACCACCTTGGTTAAATTCACAGTACGGCCGAGCGGGAACGTCGGGCATGTATTAATCGCGTGTCCACTTTCGAAATGTCCGAGAAACTCGAACGTGCCACCACGGAATTTCAATCGTCCCACGATTCTTCGTATTCAAAGCGTGCGCGCGATTGATAACCAAAACCGCTTACCGATTTTCATCCGCGACGGGTCCTCCCCGTGAAAGGGTACATTCGAATACGCGCGACCAAATCCCTCTGCCACCGTTCGGACCGGTCACGGTATTCAGTGGCAAAAATAGCTGGGTACGGAACATTTCGATTCAAATTGTAAATTTTATTTATTCGCTCGTTATTGGACAATGGAGAATTGCGAGCGTTTACGGAAAATACTAAATTATATGAATTTATAATTAAATTTATATTTCATATTAACGCTAACTAATATTTTTTATCGATACCGAAACATTCAACATTTATTTACGAAATGAAAGCAAAAAAGTATTAAAAAGGAAGTTGTAAAAATTAGAACAAAAACAAACTTGCTACTTGTAATTGTTCGTAACCAGTACAGTTGGACAAAAGTTCGAATAATTGCGGACAAGTTATTTTTTTGGTCCTTTACAGAAAATGCAGGCAAAACCTGTCAAGAAACTATCTCTGTTGGATTTTTTGTGCGCCTATTTTTGATATACACAGAATAGAAAATTATTCTGCTTCATTACAGTGAACATCGGATAATTGTAACATCAATTATCATTCCCACCGCACCTTTCTTTTCATATAAGTAAATATGATCGTAATTCTATCGCATTTGGTGTCATTTTAATCGGAAAAACATAATAAAGATGACGGTGAAAGCTTCATTCATCAAAAGTTAAAAGTAGAAAGGTTTCTTTTTCGAGTTAAAGGTCCCAAGCTCAATGTTGCCGAACGCTTCAACTTTCACTTTTTCTTGGGCCTTTGCTCGCGTTGTCCTTTTCTACCTCCGCCATGCTAAAATCTTCATTTCTTGGGGTTGAATCGATCGCGTACCCGTCCCGACGAGTGCTGCAATTATCCTTGTTCACAGTATTGTGAAAATAAATGTGTATTTCCTGGAAGTTTGTCTTTGAGACCTAAAGGGTTCAGCTATTTCGAGTTTGTCGCGCAGCCGAAGATGACACAGTTCCAGTAATTCGATCCGCTGATATTTTTGCTGCGGGCGCAATAAAGTGGCTGAATTTATTCTAACGAGCGGCGCTTCGTTGCGCCTCTAAACATGCGGGGACGGATACGGAGCATACAAAGCCCGCGTAAAAGTCGAAGAATTTATATAGCGCGCGAGTAGTCGCAAACTTCTGGAAACCGGGGAATAACTGCGAGACTCGGCTCGATGCGCCGTTCCACTTATTCTTTAAATAGTGCGAGTCAACAATTCTCGGACCCATAAACTTTGGAATTTGTCGCCCGGCACCCTCTCCTCGGAACTTCCTTCGTTTTAACACGTTCACGCCGCGGCGCTGTAACTCACGTTCTTCCCCATCTGGCGGCGAAATCCTTAAAATTGTGGGAGATATTCAAATTACCACTTATCAAATTAATTTTCAACTATACGACAATTTTGTCTGTTTACCAAACCAGTTTAACGAATTACATGTTTGATGCTGCGCGACGTCTGATGTGCCATCAAAATATAAGCCACCGGTACCTCGCGCCGGCGTGAACGTGTTAACCGAGGATTCAACACTTTATCTACCGCTCACGATCAAGGCAACCATTTACTACCTACCGATACAATTTTCGTCATCGCGTAGGAGTGTACGTATTCACTTGCAAAGCTTTGTAACCTTAAGCCTTTGCACTCGAAGTTTTTTCTCACTGATATTACCAGCAACTCGAAACGTACTTTACTGTTTTTTATCGATTATAGATATAAATGTTATAATATGTTTAATGACAGATTGTACAGTTTGTAACGATAAATTTGACATGGCTTTGCTCCGGAGGCCTCGAGTTCAAGGGGTTAAGATTAAAGTATAAGGGAATCTCGTAATGTCGTTCTGATTTCTTTTGTTTTAAATTAACGTAATTTTAATATGATTACTGATTGTTAAGCAATCAAAATCGAAAAGCTGGTTCATAGGCTTGTGGTAGATAAAGTGTTAAGGAATCCCGTAGTTTTATTATTATTCTTATTATTATTACTACTACTACTATTATTATCGTTATCACGATTATTTACATTACTATCACTTTCGTTAATTTTATCTTCAACGTTTCCATCATGACATCATACCATGTCTATGTCCATCTAAGAAGGTTTTCATTATCAGCCCTATCTAAAAACAACATTATGCATACCGAAATGCTCCGTTAGCATTATGACTGCGTCTAGTTGTGAACCTAAACACTCTGTGAACATATTGTACATCTGACGAAGTGTAAACATAGACGGCAGTCCGACGTCCAGATTTTTAGTCGTTCCAACCCCCAACGTGAATTATTAAGGCCCAAATGTTTCCCCCTCTCTACTAGCAAATTCTCTCTTTGTCGAGTTTACCTAAATCCAATCAACGGAGAAGAAATGCAGAATTATCCTAACCACGCAATCGTCAACATCAAATTAAAACCTCTAGCACGTTTTTCCAACTCGGACTCGCCTACGTTTGACTTAATAAAACAGAACCTATACAACTTTGGTTTTCCTCTGGATTCGGGAAAGAAAACGTGAGTTTCTTATTATCTACTTCAGATAATATTGTTTAAACAATTAATACAAAAATTATTTAAAGAACATAAAATATATTGCAATGATTATCATTACAAAATAATAATTGTTTCATGAATTTCAATGAAAATTTCACCTCGATACCTTCTGGGGTTGAAAAGTTATAACAAAATGTCGCTTATTTTTCCGATCCTGGCCTAGACAGGCTTGGCCCACACAAACGATGTGTATTTACTTTTCAGAAATGAAGACATGAGTTTTATCCGTCTAATTTCCCTCTAGTCGCGACACTGTGCGTTGACGAAAATATTCGTGTCCGCCGATGTTGCAACGGTTGACGCGTGCTGGTCACCGCGAATTTTTGATTTATCGCATAAAAGTTACACGAGCGGCGAGATTCCCTGCCAAACAGCGTTCACTCTCGCAGGTGAATGGAATCGTAATTACATCGACAAGACTCGTGTCGCGTATGTTAACGGTAACGCGCAACACAGGTTCCGTAACGTTTACGAGTACATTGTAAGTGGCATATTAACGTCGGATGTTTCATAATGTTTATTACAAATTCGTATAGAAGCATTGCAGTCGTAGCGAGGCATTGTCTAACTGTCATACAAGTTGTATTTTAGTTATTACTTACAATGTGAGTCATTTCACAACTGCGATCGATAGACTTCCTTGTTTACAATTCGGTAGAAAAAAGAAGAAATTCAAACTCGTATGCAGTAACTCGTGGTAATTAATTAATTACTCTAAGGCGCTATAAATTGATAATAGAAAAATAATATTTAATCTTTCGCACTCGAAAGTTTTTCACTAGAAATATTCAATATTTTTCTACGAGTTGTAGACGACATCGTTTGAAACTAACCAACGAGAAAGCGTACGTAAATTAGAAAACAAAACTATTTTATTTCTATATTATATAAATTGATGCATTGTACAAAGCTTAAGGTTATATATAAGACTTTATAATTTTAGACTAAGAGTCGTCTCTCGATTTAAAAATATAATAAAAGATTTATTTGAATTTGAAAGAATTAAATGAGACCCTTATTTGTTACATTCTATTTGAAATCTTTGTGATGAGTCTGACACGATATTCTCGGACTCGTCACGAAGATTTGAATAATAGAAAACAAACGAGAAAAATACATGATAGGTATATTTTGAACGCACTCATATATCTCATAAATAAATAATATTTATATAATTAGAATAAGCATTTTTAATTAAGAATTAATATTTTTCAGGATATCCCTTTTGTCGCACAACATGTCTCAGACATATTGGTATGTTAGAAATGATTTTATTTTTAAAAAAATTAATGTTTCTTCGTTCTCTTTATTAACTACTCTTTTAAATTTTTATGTAGCTTAATTTACGGTGTTTGCACAATTGTACATCTAACAAATATCCTCGCAATACTTACACGATTGTCCGATTTCCATATTGCCAGTACTTTTTCTTTTAAATTTCCCTTCGAATCCCCTTCGTATGTTCTGTCTCACAAACATTTCAAATATATTTTTCAATTGTAATGTGTAATTGGAAATTTAATGAGACACTGAAAAGTTCATTAAAACCATTGTAATTACGGACGACAGGATTAAAATAGAACTGAATTCCTTTATCTCTGAATTAAAATGTACGATATTTTATGGGCAAAACTGACTGCAATATTTCACGCAATTCTGATGGTGAATGATATGAAATTGCCGTGATCTAGAGAGTATTCATGATCCATCAAACATTAACTCGAAGCTTATGCGTGTTTAATGATACGAGCTGGAGGGAAATTAACGTAGCAGCAAATTAAATTAAAGTAATCGCTATCGTATATTTCTTACTGCGTTGGGCGGAACAACTGTGACTAATATGGAACACAAATATAAAGATGTTAAAAAAAAAGATGCAAGAAACACGTCAAAATTAATAAATAATCGTACGTTAATAGTTAACTGCGTAAAAATTGGAGTGTCCTGAAATTACGGTAAAAAATGTGAAAAAAACTCAACACAGACGAGTTGAAAAAGTGTTACCTAATATCTTCTACTTTTTACAACTTGTATTATGTTAACTTTTTTCTTCCTCTTCTTTTCCACGTTAAATATATCTATGTGAATGATGCACTGTATTGAATCCAGTTTTCTTCATTATTATAATTTTGAGTACAAAATGTGGTAAATATACACAATAAACCGCAATTTCATTCGAACCCATCGTTTCCTTATGATTTAAACAAGATTAGATTTCAAAGTACTGCTCACATTTCTTAAAATATTTCTGAAGGTACTGAATAAATTCTATAATAAACAAAGTATATACTTGTATAATACAAACCTATTTCGTTTATATTCAACTCTACTTGAGAGTATTACTTTCCACTTCCAAAATATTCAAATTACGTTTGAAGCTATCCAATCAGGTTCAATCCCACTTACAATACACTTCATCCCATCTCTATTAATTGGGTTAGTGGGCTTTCTCTTATCCTTTAACCTCTTAAGAGCTTGTTAAATTCCAGTAAAAGTTATTTCATCGATTTATAGAACAGACTTGTGTGAAATGGCACCAGGAACTGTTTTCTCTTTTACAATTTATATTTTACTGCATACATTTTAATTAGAAATTGATTTGTATTTCAATTGAAGGAAATCTTATAAAGATAAAATGCTTGTAAATACTTTAAGTGAAATATGTTAAGTATTTTAAAGTACCGTAAAGTTTTTCCCTTTTATTATTTCTATCGTAATGTTGGAACAGAGATTCATCTCAACTTTTTTTCGAAAAGGCATGATATAAAATTTAAAAATTTTGCATGCAGATACCACTAGCCTATGAGAACACGTTTTTGTTACACTTATATGCCTAATTTTATTAGCCGAATGGCACAATCACCTGAAAACTTTTAAAACTTCATTTCTTACATATTTGTTTACATTAATATTTGAAAATCGAAGAATTTACGAAGTAAATTATTATTAATTGACTTCATATTTTACATCTGAATTCCCAATAAAAGTTCTCATACATTAATAGAGCCATTTTTAATTCGAATACTTTTACTATAATAAAAAGAACTGAGGGTTTTTTTAAAATAACCCACTTTTTCTCTTCAATATATCGTCACTTTTTCATTTTTCAAAATTTGAGAAGAATTATTAACAATCAAAATTCATTTGATCTTTTAATTTCTGATATGATACAGCCATTATTCTCACACTTACCGTACACGATATTCTATTAACATAACAGAAAATGGAAAATTTGTATCGAATAATAACACCGTAAAAAAGTGTAATAGATAATTACCATTTCCCGCGATTTCAAACCGTTATTTCCCTTAAAGAAGTTTCCTAGATTCGCTGACAATCGAAAATAGACGTGTTTTTTAAAAACAGCGAATCACGGGTGGTCGCAACAGAAATTCAATGTTTCGCTAAAAAATTACAATAAATTTCTCAACGTTTTCCAATCTATTTTTTGAATTTCGTCTCCTCTCTTCTCATCGTTTCACGATCTTTTTCGAAAAACGCGTTTCCGCATGCCATATATTCGGTCCCGTCTTTTCTAGTGAGTTCCCACTGCAACCTCGATTTCTAGTTGTGCTTCGTTCCGGCGCATCGCAGCTGCCGTTCTCGCGATGTTCGTATTAGGAGAGAAAAATGTGTGCCCACGTATACAGGATCTTTCAGAATATGTGGATATATTTTTATCGATGTACTTAGTACGCTAAACTTAAGAAGAGGGTTCATATTAAATGGCTTATGCATACACAGCTAAATCTTTTTTCACATGAATTGAGACATTTAAAATCTATCTGAACTATTCTGAAGCAGAGTGTATACACGCGCGCGGCAACGGAGCGAGGCGCATTGGCGTCGATCCATCGAAAAATTAATGCAACGTGTCTCCGATGTGGAAGATGTTCAGTGTCGCGTTCCGGCAGCCACGAAAATATTCACGTCTGTCTCTTAGCGTGCAGCTGCGGCTCTCGTTTAGGCCCGTTAAACGTTTCACGGTTATTCGAGCACCTAATTGCATAACGGGTGCCATATAACAGGTCGACGAAACGTAAATCCCCGCGCGATCCGACTGTCGCCGTGAATGATTTAATTGCTTCCAGTCCGGATGATGTTACACACACGCGTAACTGGTCGTCGACCAGTTATTAACGTCGATCACTCAGTGTTAAATGAATTTCGTGTAAATCGCGCCGGTTATCGATGAGGAGATCGCGTAGTTACGCGCGAGCTTCTCTACCATCTGATCTTGATCTTCTCAAGAAGGCCCCCCCGAATCGTCAAATCTTGGTGCACGGTGCTGCAACATGTTTGAAAAGTAGGCTTACGATGCATTGGAAGGTTTGCATCGCGATATGTGTAGTAAAACTAACGATTTCGAAGTGCTTTGAAGAAAGTTAAGAGTATTTTGATTCTAATATTGTTATTATTGTAATTTTTTTTTTTAATTATTATTATTATAAATTTGATATTATAATATGAACAGAAGAAAAGGCCGTCCTCAGAAAATAATTTTTTAAACGATCGTATATGAATTTTGCAACAATAGAATAATTGTCTATGAAGTTCACGTTAACAGGAGAAATTAACGCGAATAAATCGTCCACTCGATTGTATTACCACTTACAGAACACCCTGTATAATATCGGACCGTTTCTCCGCGAAGAAACCGAGAAACTCCAGCTGAAAGTGTTGGTTGAATCGTACCATCCGCGCACCCTCGAGTAAATGCATAAATTCGCTTCACGCGAGGACACTGTATAAAAATAATTCAACGGGGAGAAGCGAGGCGTATAAATAGTTGAGAAAAGAAGGTTGTTGCTCTTTCAGATGACGTAACGCGCAAACTTTTCGATGCAAATTTTCGTTTCCAGGAGCGTCGATCTTCGGAAACGATGTTTATTGCCATTGCAAGTAGAAAAGATGATCGTTGATCAGACGCATCGATCTGTCGCGCGTTCGTGTACGATTTCCCGAAGGTGATAATTTTGTTCGGCGAGATTGAAATGAATTTGCGGAACTTGGACCGATTCACCTACTCTTTACTGGAGCTACGAAGGTCCGACGAAGACAGCGAGCAGCCGAATACGAATGTCTCACCCGCAAAGTATCGTCTTCCGGTGAATAGATTGCTCGGCTACTAGAAGTGAGAAGAAAATTACCGCGTCTATTTTGAACGCATTCGCATCAATTGCAAACGAAACGCTTCATTGGCTTCATCTGTATTTAAACTGGAAGCAACTCATCAGAGATGAAACGGTAACTGATAGTAATAATCATGAAAATAATTTGAAAAGAATTATAATAATACAGCGTACAATGTTTTGTTACGATTCCGTCGTTATATTCGAGGTTATAGAAGCAAGAAGCAAGGTTATAGAAGCGTTTATTCGAATTTGTAATTGAACTTGGTGAAATTCAATGAAGAATGAAACCAGTTACAATTATTTATAGGACGAACAAAAAGATAAGCTCTGCGCGAGATTGTCTGTTACAAAGAAGTTAAGGTAGAAATTACTAATGTTATTGCTTTGACTACGCTGCGAAATTTTAAGCATTCGCAGCGTATTTAAATCTGCAAGAAGAGAATTTCATGCAGTTTTATTTCATTTTGTTGAAATCGTCGATATAAGAAATTTTTAATCATTGTCATCAGTTTACAGATGATATCATCAGAGCTCTTATAATTATTCATCGAAGAGATAGACGGATGAAATAACGGACTATTCGTACAATAACTCTTACCGAATTCATCTAAAATCAAAGCCTCAAAATTGTACTATGATGATAATCAACTTAAATGTTCAGGAACTAAGAAAATTAACTTCATCAACATTTTTATCAATTTGAAGAGGAAGTATCAATTTTTTACTGCTGTTTCTTGTATATGCCAGATAAATAAGTTAATAACTACTTCACTGAATACATCTCAAAAGTCTAAGGGACCTTTTAAAGAACACTGCCCTTATAAAAACGTATTTAAACATTGAGTACATTGTAGATGAAGAAAATGATCATAAAGATTGTGTACAAATTTTTTTAAGACTTGCAGATGATTAAATGTAGTCTTGTATTGATGTTCAATATTCACATTCTATATTTACAATTAACAATATAACAAGCACATACATTTTTATATTGATGTTTTAAATATACACGAAGACATCATTGTATTTGCTTGTACTATTTTCAGAACATGTCTCACGTTTAATAAGTGAATAATTATTATGACAGGCACTTGATTTCCTCGATCGAATACTTGTTAT